AGTTATTTATTTAAAGAGTGACATACTGTACCTGTTGCTGGACAAAGCATCCGGTGTAACTGGCTCTAAAAATAAAGTTATTTTCAGGGTCTTTGTACAGAGAGAATCCACAAGCAGACAGCTGGAGGTTTAGGCGATCCAGAGATGCAAGGTTGACTTGTGGAAAGAAAAGGGTGATTCAGAAGTAGAGCTGTTTTATCTCACATTTATGTAAACATTTTGCCACTTATTGTGCCAGAAAGATCTACCTTGGATATGTAAGGCCCCAGACAGCCAGACTGCCAACCACTCTATGCTCGCACTGTGGATCCATGTTTCCATTTATTCAGAAAAACAGGCTACATCTCCATCTGAAAATACAAGCATATTTTCTCATTGTGCAAAAGCACCATTAACAGCTATTGTATATGTCACCACAGAATAAAGACTTACCTGTTAATTTTGCTGTGGGGTCATCAACCCATTCTCTTCTCTGAGTGCAAAACACGCTCCTTGTGAAAAAACACAGGAAAACACTACAGAAAAAGTGTTTGAAGATGGCAAATGCATTTTTATACAACATTGTTACTTACATAGCTGTAAGAAAAATGCTTAATCTTGGTATGTAATCCATGACACTACTACTAACAAATATTTGAGTCTGATGGGTTTCAGGGCAGCTGGCCTACTTATAGGTGAGGTATGGGTGATAAAAGGTGATAAAACAGGTGTGTTTACTCTGACACAATGAAAGCAAGTCAGAAATACAGACCACTGTCTCCAGCTCATGTGAAAAACAGGTTTTAAGCCAGGTGTAGGTCTCTTAATATTTAAAGCTCTTTATCATGAAAGAATTTATTACAGTTTATTATGAATTTATTATGAACTTTTTAACAATCAGCTTTCCCTTTATCCTAAGCAGATTTAAAATAATGCTATACCATTGTATCATATATCACCTTGGTCAAACTATTTTGTTGATATGATGTTTACATTTTGTAAAATATCCACACTCTTATTAATATTTTAATGGCTGCACAATTTCATCATATATTATTTTATCTCCCCCAACATTTTCCTGATGTCTCATACTTTGGGATATCTTATATAAGCAAAATTTGAAATAACTTTTAATACTGTTTTACTGCATAGAATAAGTGCAGGGGATCAGATTGATGTTGCACTTAATGACACATCCATTATGACATAACCTCACCACACTGATTTAAATACACTTTAATCATCATTACAATTTGTCGCTAGCACCTTTTGTTTGGGTTTTAAGGTGAACAGGTATTGACAGCCTTCAAAGGGTAATTCGCGAGAGTTTAACTTTACGTATTGAGGGTTGTGAGACAAGACAATATCCACAAACCTAACCGCATAACGTTTAAGTCAAGTACATAAAAACGTACCGACGTCTGGTGATCTGAAGTAACAAAAATTAAGTAAAAGTTCCTTCATTTTAACCACGACATCCCTACAAAAATCAACAGTGTGACCGCCCAAATACATGATGTCATCTTTATAAGGTGAGCAGCCATTTTGTTAGCTAGCCTGAGGTTAAAGAGGTTAGCCCTCGGATTTAGCCACTGGAACGTTAAATATGGTAACTTCAGTCTGATGATTTTGGGTTCAAATTTAATAGAGCAAGATAACTTGGTTTGTTGTTGTTTACTACAGTTGTCGGCCATAGGCTCACAAACAAGTAAGAGAGTCGTGTGTTTGCTGACAGTAAACAGAGCGCGAAACTAGATGGCCATTCATTTTTTGAAGCTGCCTTGAGTTTGCTAGCGTGTTAGCAGTAGGCTAACGTGTATACGCGTGCTGTCGGTGGGTTAAAAACATTCACCTCTCATGGCTGCTGGCTATTAAATGTTAAGAGTTGTGGAGTGTGTGTTTCACGCTGGCCTGTCTCTCTTTGACTGTCTTGCATTTCAGCTTCTTCACCCAGTTAATAGTTTAGTTAAGCGACACCAATATCTCGTGTGCATCATTCCAGTGTTTACTAATAGCTTGAGCTCCTTCAGCTGATTCGACTTTACCCGGCGTTCAGCTTTCAGAGACCATGTCAGAGTTGTACATTCGTGTGGCTGAGGAAGAAAACGAAGAACCCATGGAGATCCCCTCGGAGGACGACGGCACCGTTTTGCTGTCATCGGTAGCAGCACAATTTCCAGGGGCGTGCGGACTGCGGTACAGGAACCCAGAGTCCCAGTGCATGAGGGGAGTCCGGCTTGTCGAGGGCGTCCTGCATGCACCAGAGAGCGACTGGGGAAACCTGGTCTACGTCGTAAGTTATCCCAAAGGTGAGGCAGGTATTGGTGTAAACCACTTGAGTTCGTCCAATTACTGGAACTGTGCAAAAAAGTAATTTAACATGAAGATTAAAATGATCAGTTTATGTTAACTCTTTAGCCAACTCATCTTGGAAGATGTATGTGTAGGTTTGTTACTGTTTAACTGCTTCTAATCTCAGTGCTCAAGTGTACAATGACAATAGACAGTGGGGTGCCTCCAGCAGCAGTTTGTGGAGAGCCCCTTTCCCTTTTCAACATGACAAAGCTCGTAAAGAAACAGTGTTGTGAGTTACATGTGCAAGAACTTGACTGGTGTGCACACAGCCCTGACCTCAACCCCAACCAGCACCTTTGGGATAAACTAGGTCAATGACTGAAAGCCAGGCCTTATCAACACACATTAGTGCTCAACCTCACTGATGCTTTTGTAGCAAATTCCTGCATCCAAGTTCTTGTGGAAAGGTTTCACAGAAGAGTGGGAGATATTATGGAAGCATATTAATGTCCATAGTGTTGGAGTGAGATACTCAGTCATATTAGTGGTTGGGTGCATTCCTTTGTCCATGTTGTGAATCACCATTGAACATCTAAGAACTCAGACGGTCTACATTTGACCTTTTTGCTCATTTCAGCAAATAGTATCTTTTTATTGACACAAGGCATATCTATTTAATCTTCACAGATAATAAACGGAAGATGGATGAAATAGATGCTGCCTCAGCTGTGAAAATCAAAAGGGGCTTTCAGAAGACATCAGATCTCATTGTCCTTGGGCTGCCATGGAAAACAACAGAACAAGACCTAAAAGATTATTTCAGTACCTTTGGGGAGGTCATCATGGTACAGGTATTGACACCTCATCTGGCTGTGTCTGTTTTTGTCAACATTTCTTTGTTAGGCTTTGAGTTCAGTAAGAATGTGCCTGTATTTCTGGTTAAGTTGATAATAAAGCTCGCTCACATCTCTGTGTTCACTGCAGGTGAAGAGAGATGCAAAAACTGGCAACTCAAAAGGTTTTGGGTTTGTCCGGTTCACTGACTACGAGACACAAACCAAAGTCATTGCTCAGAGACACATGATTGATGGACGATGGTGTGACTGCAAGCTTCCCAACTCAAAGGTATATTGTGAACCATTTTAAAATACTATCATCAAGGAATGGATCATCTAAATGGATTTAGATTGCTTTAAGGTCAAGGGTCAATTGATAAGATGTTGTTGACAACTGGATTTTAGCTTTCAGATGTTTTTGTTAAGCATTATTTTTTACTTCATCATAATTTTCCTGTAAGGAAAGTCTTGATTTGCAGTTTTAAGGAGGGCAGCAAAAGAGTTTTTCCATTTACATTGTTAAAGCTGGAAGATAAATAGCATACAGCCATTTTATGTTATGGCAGCTGAACTTTGCAAATTTAAAAATTGTTCAGAATTCGCAGGCTTTCCACTTTTTACCTTGATATATGAATATCTGCTGCATGAAAAAGAGTTCTGGACATAGTTTTCCCTTTTCTAAAGAGTTTTAAAAGTATAATTTGATCATTGCAGTGGATTGAAACAGTCTACTCTAATTTTGCAACTTTAATGTAGGTTACAAATTTTTTATTAAACTGAACTACAGCTGAGTTGGTCAGCAGCTGGACCTAAAAAACATAATATAAATGTACTTCATTTAATACATGATTGTGTGTGTTTGTCCTGTTAGGCTTGCCCTGATGAGCCAATGCGGAGCCGCAAAATCTTTGTTGGCCGCTGTACAGAAGACATGACAACCGATGACCTGAGGAAGTACTTCATGCAGTATGGCGAAGTTACTGATGTCTTCATCCCCAAACCTTTTCGGGCGTTTGCATTTGTCACATTTGCTGACGACCAGGTGAGATTCTCCATAAATGTCAGAGTTTGAATATTAGTAGATGTCATAATAACAAGATGAGGGAGTTAGTATGCTCTAAATTTAAAGGCAAACAACATTTTTTTTATTGCTATAAATGTTACAAACAGAATTGTAGTGTATGGGTGAAAAAAGAATGACCAGTATTAAGTAGCAGAGCAGATAAGATGTACCTGTACACCTGTACCAGGTGTGTGTTCATGCGTACATAGGAAGTGCTTGGTATACAAAAACACACAGAAGAGCCTACAGAAACACTTTAGAAAAGGGAAAACTATGTCCAAAACTACGACAGAGTGATATGCCAGTCTGGAGAGGTGGACTGATTATATACAGTATAATTTCAGTTCATCGGCTGTATGACATGCATCTCAAAAACACAACTGAATTCACTCAAATACAGGACTGTAGCTCTAAATAAGGATCAGAAATGGATGGCTTCATTCTGGCTGATACTGATCCTGTGCAATATGCCTGAATAGGCACTGATACTTGGTATTGCACCGGGACATCTTCGATCTGTACTGATAATCTCATCCTGACTTCTTTTTCAGGTTGCCCAAGCCCTGTGTGGAGAGGACCTGATCATCAAGGGGGTCAGCGTGCACATCTCCAATGCTGAGCCCAAACACAATAATAGTAGGCAAATGATGGATCGAGGGCGGTTTGGGGCTGGTGGGTTCAGTCAGGGCTATGGCAGTAATCGCGGGGGGCTAGGCAGTGGTAGCGGTGGGGTTAACTTTGGGGCTCTTGGTCTTAACCCTGCCATGGTGGCTGCTGCCCAGGCAGCACTGCAGAGCAGTTGGGGAATGATGGGTATGCTGGCTAACCAGCAGGGTCTCACCACAACGGCTGGCAACCACCCAAACCAGAGACCAGACCTATAGCTCTGCCAGCACCAGTTACAGCAGCCCCAGCTCAGCTAGCCTTGGTTGGGCTGCAGGCACTAACACTGCCTCCAACAGTGGCTTCAGCTCTGGCTTTGGCACATCTATGGAGTCTAAGTCTTCTAGTTGGGGAATGTAGATAGCTTGGAGTTAACCTTTCTGTTGCTGTTAGGTTAATCTGGTAAGTATATCTGCAGGGGGGAACTGCTTATATCTTACGTTTGTATTATTTAAAAACACAAAGCCTTTTATTTTGTTAAGAAGAAATTTATACTTGCGTGTGACTGGTTGTGTAGTCATGCTTTGAATGGGTGAAAGGTTTATTTTGATAGCAAAAGTACAACACTCCCTTTTTTGTTTTTGAGCAGATGTTACACGGAGATGACTGCATGTGAGATAAAAATTTATAAACATGCACGAGTATCTCAAGCCCCTCAGCCCCTTGTAAAATGGGCTTTATTAATTATTAACTGTGTATCTGTAAACAGTTGAATGCATCTTTTGTTTTTTGTTGTATTTTGAAAACGGCTTCATGAAAATTTCTTCTGCAGTTCACCAACCCTTTCCCAATTTCCCGGGAGGAAGCGCCTCATTGGCAGCAATGTTCGACAGATCTCAGTATCAATTCCCTCTTCCCATGTGTAAATGATTTGTCCACAAAGAACACAGCTTCATTCTGCATATACTGTGTTAGACGGTGGGTGTTCTTTTTTCCTTTCCCCTTTTTATGGATGCAGAAATCTTGTCTGCTCTTGTGGCTTTTCGAGATCAGTGAGTGGAATTGGTGTTGGGCCGAGTGAGAGTGAGCGAACGGGAGAGCAAAATGAAAGCAAGTGTGAGAAGGACTGTATGTGCACAAAGTTACTTTTTTTAAATATATAAACAGACAAATGCCTGCGAGAGTTGAGAAGAAACTGGCTTTGTGCGAGTGTGAAATATAAACTCAAGTATGAGTGTGTCCTTGGCCACCACAAGGACATTTACTGTGTCTTGAGATCCCTAAGGTCTCTGCTTTTTCTCATCATTTTCTCTCAACCTTAATTCTTTGAAAGTGAAATGTCAAGTGCTATGAGTATTTGTATCTTTTTGTAGTGTGCTCTTGCTGTCTGGTTTGATGTGAATGCTGTGCCTGGTTGTGTGTTTTATTTTCTCCTTGTTACCACCCTCTCTATGTGAAAATGTGACTTTGTGCTAGTGAAGTCTGTGTGGGGAAGAAAACACTGAAAGTGTGTTGAAGTCTGCAAGTGAGCTCAGAGGTTGTTGTTGTTGTGAATGTTTGACAGGTTCCCATTGAAAGTTTGTGTTTGAAGTGGTTACGAGTGCATTTTCTATGTTTTGTGAATCAAAGGGAAGTCTGAAATAAAACTGAATTTGACTAGGTATGATACCCTCTTGACAGTGACTTATTTGTGACTTGATGATTAATTGAACTGCCAACACTTTAATTTGCATGTATAGGGACCTTGGACACGGACAGCCCAGGTTTCCATCTGAATCCAGGTTGAAGTCGGTAATGGAGAAGCTGAAGACATTGGTTAGTGGGCTTCCGCAAACCAACAATGGAATTGCTGCACAGCTGCCTAAATCCTGAAAAGGATCTTCGGACCAACCCTAAATGAAATTTAGAGTGGACCATACACAGTTGGGCTCAGGTATTTGTTTACAACTACAAATGTCACAAATAGGACCAAAGTCTCACCTGCAGGTTGGCAGTGATCATACCTTCTCTTCATCCAAACATATGAAACCCAAAGCCTACTTTAAATCTAAAACATGCGTTTCTGTAAGTAAATACTTTGTCCTCATAAGTTATTGATCTCACTGAAGTATTAATTAGCATGTTTGTTTTCAATGTGGTCAAAAGGAATTTCAGTAAGGCAGGAAGTGTGCTTGTTTTGTTTATATTGATCGCAAAATGGTTGGAATTTATGCGCCAACTGATTTTCGAAAGGACTTTGACATCTGACTGAACATGCCAGCAGGA